GGTGAGGCAGGTAACGTCAACCTGCAGAGAGAGTGTGAAGGAGGAGAAAAAATAAGAAACCCAGTTTTAGAGAGATTGCATTTGAGAAAGCAGACATCCAATCAGAGATAAAGGAAAGGCAATTGGTGGCATGTTGTAGGACAGAAGGGGATAGGTATATCTGGGTGTTGTCGGCATACAGGTGGTAGTGGAATCCAAATGAATTAATGAGTTTGCCAAGAGAGGCAGTATAGAGAGAGAACAAAAGAGGTCCAAGAACTGAACCTTGAGGGACTTCCGATTCAGACAGGATGAGGAGAGGTGGTGTCGTTGGAAAAAGAGACACTGAAGGAGCGTTGGGAGAGATAGGAGGAGAATCATGACAGGGTTGTGTGACAGAGACCAAGAGATTGAAGAGTTAGGAGAAGAAGGCCATGATCAACAGTGTCAAAGGCAGCAAAAAGGTCACAAAGAAATAGCATGGAGTAGTGGCCTTTGGATTTAGCTGCAATTAGATCATTTATAACTCTGGTCAGAGCAGTCTCTGAGAAGTGGAGGGGTGGAATTCAGACTGAAGAGGGTCAAGGAGAGAGTTGGAATTGAGGAAACAAGTCAGACAGGTAAAGACAAATCTTTCCAAAAACTTTGAGGAGAAAGGGAGCAGGGATATGGGACAATAGCTGGAAGGGGAGGTAAGGTCAAGAGATGGCTTTTTGAGGACAAGTACAACAGTAGCATGTTTAAGGAGAGCTGGGACAACACCAGAAGAAAGAGAGCAACTGAAGATGTGTGTAAATGACTGCACCAGTCAAGGGACGAGAGATCTGATGAGGTGGGAAGGGATGGGATCAAGCGGACACGTGGTGGGACGAGAGTAAAGGAGAAGTGTACCCACCTCCTGTTCAGTAGCTGGAGAGAAGTCTTGGAGGGTAGGGATAGTATGGTCCAAGTGAAGTTGAGATAGAGAGGGGAGAATTAATCCCTAACTGTTTAATCTTGTCAGTAAAGTAACATGCAAAGGTATCAACTGAAAGATTAGTTTTTGGGGTGGCCACAGCAGGGTGAAGAAGAGAGTTAAAAGTATTAAAGAGATTACTAGGATTGAGGAAGCATGAACTAATGAGAGAGGAAAAGTAGGACTGTTTCGCAAGGGTGAGGGCTGCGCTGTATGAACGCAAGACAAATTTATAGTGTTGAAAGTCTGACAAGGTGCCAGACTTTCTCCAGCAGCGTTCAGCTGAACGGGAGCATCTCTGCGGGTAGCAGGTTTACTTAGTGTGCCACGGTTGGAGGTGCGTGCTTGGTGCGGGGCTGCAGCACCTAGGGCAGAGGTGAGGGTAGCGTTATATGACGAGATTGCCAGAGAGGGACAGGAGAGGGTAGGGATGGATGAGAGTTCAGAATGGATATCAGTCAAGAGCTGCTGAAGGTCAAGATAATTCAAATTCCTACAGAGTTGAGGGGGATTAGGTTGAGGACTTTGGATGTGGGGGCACTCAAGAACAAATGATAGGAGGTGGTGGTAACCCCCCCAAAAAGGGATCATGAATTCAAAGTAAACTTCCAATTAGTAGCAGAATTGAAAAAAAAAATTTTACAGGTCACCTAGGTTTTCAGTTCACCTTTTTTGCCTACATTTTGAAATTCACTTTATATTGCTGTCAAATAAACACTTTACAAAAATAACCCAGTCGTGATATTAAGGAGCTTGTCTAACTCTAACTACACGGGAATGAGTACATTCATGTCAACACACAAAATACTGAAGGAGATTTGTTGACAATGCCTTGAAAGTTTTGCCAAAACAAAAAGAAAAAAAAAAAACAACCAACCTCTTCCACCAAACTATTTAATACCAATATTAAACGAAACAAACAAAATGTATCCTCGAAGCCATAAGTTAAGTGAACAGTCCAGAGACAGATAACTAGTTAATTCTCAGTATTGAATGACCTGACCCTCATTATACAGAGAGCCCTTCCTGTGTGGGAGAGGTGAGGAGGATGCTCAGATTTTGCTTTTCAAGTTAAGTCCCTTCCACATACAGCCTAGGGTTACATGTTTATTATCCGTGTCCCACCCTGCCAGTCCCCACTACCTCCTATTTAGGGTGCAGCCAGTTTCCCCAGCTCACGTGTCCATTAGACTGATGGGCAACAACTTGACTTGCAAGATCCTGGACTTCCGAGTCGTGACGTCACCGGTAGAGCTCCACTCGGATCACTGACATGTTACACTGTAAGAAAATTCCAAGCAGCCAGGCTGTAGGTAGGGGATGATACAAAAGGAAGTATACGTCATTGGCTTCGCCAAAATGGCAGACGCAGCGAAAACACAGAAATGCAGCTGTTGTAGCTTTTGTGTGTAGAGCTCGTGCTCCACTGAGGATACCGGAAGTGCCTGGAAAGTGGCTGTCTGCATGTCACCTCTAGAGCTGTGAGCAGGGCTCTCCATCCCAGGCTCGGGTGTTATTGAAAGGTAATAAGGTATATGTACAGCTATTAATATGTATGGGAACTATAAATTACACAAGTACTCTGAATGTGCCTGCTTACCCACATATTACTGTTTTTATAATTGGTTCCCTGTTCATCTGTTCTTTTACCTATTTATTGAATGTTAATGTTTATATAGATCAGTTTATATATTGGGCGTGGGGGGACATACTGGCATATCGCTGATATATTTTGCAAATGAACTTGTAAACTAATGAACAACATATTACAGGTCAGAAGATTTCAGTGATGACAATGGCAACATTGTGCAGGAATGTGAAGGTATGTTTATTATTATTATTATTATTATTATTATTATTATTATTATGATATTTATATAGCACCAACACATTTTCGCAGCGCTTTACAGTGGGTGGACGAACAGACATGTGATTGTAACCAGACAAGTTGGACACACAGGAACAGAGGGGTTGAGGGCCCTGCTCAATTAGCTTACATGCTACAGGGAGTGGGGTAAAATGACACAAAAAGTAAGGATAGTATTAGACTAGTGACAGTTGCAAGATAGGAATCAGCCGTGAGCTATTAACAGTTTAAACTGATACGCTTTTATGAAGAAGTGGGTTTTTAATGATTTTTTTGAAGGAGTGGAGACTGGGTGAGCATCTAATGGAGGAGGGAAGTGAGTTCCACAGGAACAGTGCAGCCTTTGAGAAGTCTTGAAGGCGAGCATCAGAGGTGGGAGTATGGACAGAAGATGGACATAAGTGTTCAGCAGAACGTAAGGGCCTAGATGGGACATACTTGTGTATTAGGGAGGATAGATAGGAGGGAGTAGCATTATGTAGAGATTTGAAAGCAAGAACCAGAATTTAAAATTGAGCCCTATATCGTACAGGAAGCCAATGTAGGGACTGACAGAAGGGTGAGGCGTGGGAGGTGTAAGCGGACAGGAAGATGAGTCTTTTGAGCGCAAGTTGGGAGCATGTGAGACCACTGAGAAGTGGATTACAGTAGTCAAGGCAAGAAAGGACAGTGGAATGAACCAGCCACTTAGTCGCATCTGGCGTTAAGTAGGGTCCGATGCGCGCAATGTTTTTGAGATACAAGCAGCAGGATTTGGCAATAGACTGAACATGAGGCGTGAAGTAGAGGTCGGAGTCAAAGAGAACACCTAGGCAGCGAGCCTGCCTGGTGGAGCTGATGGTAGCACCATTGATTTGGAGGGAGACAGACACAGGAGTAGCAACAACACTTGAGGGAGTAAAGACCAGAATTTCAGTTTTGGTCAAGTTACATAGTTACATAGCTGAAAAGAGACTTGCGTCCATCAAGTTCAGCCTTCCTCACATTTGTTTTTTGCTGTTGATCCAAAAGAAGGCAAAAAACACAGTTTTGCAACAAGCTAGAATGGCAGTCAGATTTATCCTTGGATCAATCATTGAAAGATTATATCCTTGAATATTCTGTTTTTGCAAGTTTGCATCTAGTAGCTGTTTTGAACATCTGTATGGACTCTGATAAAGCCACTTCATCAGGCAGAGAATTCCACATCCTTATAGTTCTTACAGTAAAAAAAAAAAAACCTTTCCTTTGCCTTAGACGAAATCTTCTTTCTTCCAGTCTAAACGCATGACCTCGTGTCCTATGTAAAGTCCGGTTTGTGACTAGATTTCAACACAATGGTTTGTATTGACCTCGAATATATTTGTATAATGTTATCATATCCCCTCTCAGGCAACGTTTTTCTAAAAACCCAAAACACTCCTTCCAGCCACGCATTGGCCTCTCTAATCTCTCCTCACTGTAGCGCGTTGCACAGGTAATATCTCATAGAATACCACCTTGGAGGTCCTTTTCTTAAGTTTGCTACCTAATTCCCTGAAATCATTCTTTAGGATCTTCCATCTTCCTCTTACTTTGTCATTGGTACCAACATGGACCATGACCGCTGGGTCATCCCCAGCCCCTCCCAATAATCCATCCACTCTGTCAGCAACATGCCGGACCCGAGCACCCGGGAGACAGCAAACTGTCCGGTTGAGCCGATCAGAGCGGCAGATTGCACTATCTGCTCTCTTAATGATAGTGCCGTACCACCACAACCTGTCTTGCCTTCCTTACATTTTAATCCCCACCTGTACTAGGGGGGCTGTTACCTCTGCTGTTAGAAGTAACAGCTTCCTCTAATACAGCTACTCCTGAGCTGATGCTCCCAACATCTTCACTCAAACGGGCAAATCTGCTAGGTTGCACCAAATCAGGACTAGCTAGACATTTCCTCTTCCCTCCCCTCCTGCTTCCTCGCTCCACTGTCACCCAGCTACATGCCTGTTCCCCATCTGTCTTATCTCCTCCCTCTCCACTACCTGTCCCCACTAAACTCTGCTCAGTGAGCAGCAGATTCCTCTCAAGATTGTCAATCTTCTTCAAAGTTGCAATTTGCTTCTCGAGATCTCCAATCTGAGTTTCCAGAGAAGCCACTCGCACACAACCGTCACAGAGGTATGGACCCTGGATGGGTACATCCAGGCATCCATACATGCAACAAGATGTGCATTGAGTCAAACCACCAATCTTGCTAACACTCATTTCTCCAGATACAGAACAATAAAACCAATAACTTGTTCGTTTCAACTCCTGGTTTTCTAACTCCTACTTGAAAGAGTCTGCTTTCAAGTAATGTGAGGAAGCTCAGTGAGTTAGGGGTGTGCCTTTATTGGGATACAAATCCCACACAGGTGCAATTAATGAACACTCCCCCAATCAATCAAGCAGCAGCACAAAAGAGGGGGGGAAACCAGAACACAGAAAAAAAAAAAAATTAAACACTTTAAAAAATTTTTTTTTTTAAACTTTACCAATTGAACAGATTTAACAAACATAAAATACAAACCACTCCAAGCAACTCCTGGTTTTCTAACTCCTACTTGAGTCTACTTACTAGAGTCTGCTTTCAAGTAATGTGAGTTTAAGGAAGTGAGCAGCCATCCAGTTAGAAATAGCAGAGAGGCAGTCAGATACACTAGTCAAGAGAGGACAGATAGATTTGTGTGTCATCCGCAAATAAATTTATATTGGAAGCCAAAGGAGCTAATGAGTTTACCAAGGGAGGCAATATAGATAGAGATCAGTAGGGGACCAAGGACTGAACCTTGGGAGAGGAGTTGGGGAGAAGCAGCAGAGCCAAAGAAAGAAACACTGAAAAGAGTGCTGGGTGAGGTAGGAGGAGCACCAGGAGAGAGCAATATCTTGTAGACCGATATTGCGGAGGATGAGAAGAAGTTGTTGTTGATCAACAGTGTCAAAAGCCGCAGAAAGGTCAAAGAGAATTAGGATAGAGTAGTGACCACGAGATTTTGCAGCAAGTAGACCATTGGATACTTTGGTCAGTGCTGTTTCCACAGCGTGCTTAGCGCGGAAACCAGACTGAAGCTGGTCTAGCACAGAGTTGGACTCGAAGAAACCTGTCAATCTCGCATACACAACTCTTTCAAGGATCTTGGACGCAAAAGACAGTAGCGAGAGAGGACAGTAGTTGGACGGGGAGTTGGGGTCAAGGTTGGGCTTCTTTAGAAATGGGGTTACAGTTGCATGTTTTGAAGGGCAATAGAAATATGTCAGAGGGGAGAGAGAGAGATTGAGATTTTTAGTGAGACCTAGAGAAAGAGAAGGAGAGAGTACGGATTAGGGATCGACCGATTATCGGTATTTTCGGCAATATCGGTATCTGCCTATAGAGATACCGATATTGTCAATAATACAGACCAGAACCACAGTGAATGCAGTGTGTCTGTGTAGTGTGTCTATAATGAATGCAGAGTGTGTGTTTGTGTAGTGTGTGTGTGTGTATATAGTGAATGCAGTGTGTTTATATAATGCAGAGTGTGTGTGTGTGTTTGTGTAGGTATGTAATGTGTGTAAAATGGGGGTGTATTTTTATTTTAAATTATTTATTTTTTAGTCCCCTCTCCCTGTTTCTTACTTGTCCAGGGAGGGGGAAGATTGCATTTCTCGGTGGTTTAAACGGTCCTGGGGGCCTGCAGCAAGCTCTTACCTTCCCAGCAGCTCCCTACAGCTCCCCTGTCTAAATCTTGCGAGTCCTGCGGCCTTCAGAGCGTTGCCACAGGTTACCATGGTAACGCTCCGCGAGGCACACAGGCTGCGAGATTTAGACAGGGGAGTTGCTGGGAAGGAAAGAGCTTGCTGCGGGCCCCCAATGCATGATTGATTGAAATGTACATTGAGGGGAGAGAAGTATGCCTACACCACCTCCTTGACAGTTGAGTCTGTGAGTGTGAGAGAATTGTAGCCCACCAAAACATAAAAAGGCAGGAGTAGTGCTATCAGAGGGGGACAGCCAGGTCTCTATAAGTGCAAGTAGTGTGAGTGAGTTTGAGATGAAAAAGTAGTGTATGGCCATTGATTTATTTTCTCTAATTTATAGGTCTAATAGAATAAGTAAAACAGCAAATGATATGTAAATAATACCTTATTTTAGAGCAGCTGAGAAGTCCACAAAGAGAGACAAAATATGATATGTATTTCTACTAGCGAACAAACAAGTTTAGAAAATTTATAGGGTTATTCTCTAAAGTGAGAATTTAAGGTGAACTTCAAATTTAGGGTCGTAATAGCCAGCTACGCTTTTAGTTGAGTTCTTCTGACCTTCAAATTTAAATTCACTTTGACTTCTCACTTTAGTGAATAAGCCAGTTTGTTTATTTTTTTTTTTTAGTTGTTGCGAAATACACGGTGCACAAGTTATGTGCTGTCTACTTAGGAGTATGACTTGAACACATATCTTGATTTTACAATTAAAATTTCAAATGGAAATTGATTTGTTTTATATTGACATGCATTAAGAACAAGAAAGCTATAATACATTTCCCTTTATTTTTTATGCAAGGTAAGCCTAGTATAAATCATATTTAGCATATATACCCTCAAAGAAAACATGCATGCAATTATTTTTGCTTTGGCATTCTATCTAAAAATCACTTGCAAAAGGTGCAGTTCTCTTATCTGTAGCCTTTGCAAGCCTTCCCCTCCTTTAACAAGCCAGACATTCTGTGACTTTCCAATCACAGACTTCCAGTGCAGCTCAATTGCAGGGCAGGTGATCTGGGCAATGCCTGCCTTTTTTGTTTAGTGCAGCTGAGCTAAACTACCAGGAGGTAATATAACCAGTTGTCTGATCGCCAGCAGGCTGTAACAAAGTTTATTTATAAAAGTGCTGCTTTCTATTGAAATGTGCACTTTTTCAGAAATGAAAAAAAGCGGATATACTCTTAACACATAAAGGACTTCAGCAATCTGAAGTGTTTTTGGGTAGATTTTCTCAACCTTTTAACAGAGAAGTACCCTACACCTCTAAAAAAAATATCCTAAGTATCCATGCCTCGAGAAAGTAAATTCTGTTGACTTAAATTCCAAATTAAGTATGTAGACACAGGTATTTAAGTTAATCCCATGTTGGAGAACAAGGTAGTAAATACTTTTTTAAAGATAAATATGACATAATGTGACTATTGTGTATGAACTATTAATCTGAAGGATAAAAGTTACAAAGTTAAAATATAATACACAGGGGGGCGTGGCTAGCGGCCGAGAAGAACGGTCGCATGGTGTGAGAGCTCCCGGCCGTTATAGCCCTCACAGCCTGACATCTCGCAGCTACATGCCCTAAAATCGGGCCAAATAAGCACCAACACCAGCAGCCTGCAGCAATGGCCCCTGCTAAGCAGACGAAGCTCACGGACCCGGTCCGCCAACAAAAACGGGACAAAACGCGGCCTATACAAGATGGCGGCGACGGACTAGCGACATCACAGTCCACAGACTCCCCCCTGGAACAAGACACTGATGTAAGCCTATACACTGATGCCCCAGTCACGGAGAGGAAGCTCTTTATTATGCTGCAAGAATTTAGAGTAACTCTGCAAAGGGACCTCAGGCAGGCAACTAATGACATCAAAAAAGAAATTTCAGAACTGGGGGAGAGGACGAACAACTTGGAGGCTAGACAAGAGGAACTCTGCTCAGCACATGACATGCTGGCAGAAACTGTACAGAATCTAAGCGAAGAACATATATGGCTTTAAAAAAGAAGATGGCCGACATGGAAGACCGCTCGAGGCGGAACAATATCAGATTCCGAGGGATCTCGGAATCTGTGGCAAATGACGGCATTGCTGCATACATATTGACACTGTGTAAAACACTGGCGCCAATGATTCCGCAACAGGAGTGGATCATGGACCGAGCACACCGGCTACCAACACCTCAAAGGCTTGCGCAAGACACGCCACGTGATATAGTGGTGAGATTCCACTTCTTTAAAACTAAAGACGCGGTACTCGCAGCGGCAAGGAAAGCAATGACATTGCCGGCGCCATACGACAAAGTTCAGCTATTTGCAGATCTGTCAGCAATGACAATGAGCAGGAGGCGGGAGTTTATAACAGTCACAAAGACATTAAGAAACAACAGCATTCAATACCGCTGGGGGTACCCAACCAAGATCATCGTTTGGAAAAATGGAAGGACATATACAGCGAACGAACCGGAGGTGGGCATGCGACTACTGAAAGAATGGGGGTTATTTCCGCTGAGGTCTCCGGACGGAGCGACAGTGGAATCACCGACACGCCCGCAGAGAGAGTGGCAGATGGCGGGCTCGCCCTCCAAAATCTGACGACTTACAGGTCCCTCACTACAAGGACTATTGTAAGATAAACAATGACTGTCACGCTTACCACTTGCTAACGATTGAAAGGTTGTGAGTATAAGTAAATGTGTTACTATACATGGGGACATGACACCACAACCTTACCACGACACTCCAGCTACTGGAGAGACACACACGAATACCCTAAAGGTTAGGCTGAAAGGGGGTAGAAGTACAAGGGGAAAAGAGTTTCGGAACCCCAGATATGTCTCAAATTAGCAGTATTAAAAAGATGGGCAGGGGAAATTGGTTGGTCAATTTATCAATACATCCATTAATTCCAAAGGACAGGGCGGAAACCAACACTGATGGGGGCCGAGGGTGGCATGCTCTCACAACCAGACCATCCCCTAGGTTTGCGCGCAGAGACGGGACAAAACACCCGACTTGCGTTTAAACCAGGAAGAGCGCTAACAAATACAATGGCGCTATGTACATACTTGTTTTTGTTACAGACACGTGGTTTTGTTATCCCTGTTATATCCCAACCCCTTCCTTCCTGGACAGCCTCATCACCACTTGCTATGCATTATTACCCGTACACGCACGAACTGCACAAGCAGCCTAACAAAAGACCGTATGGCTGACGAACTAAAAATCCTAACATTAAATGTGAAAGGCCTCAACAGCCCCCATAAACGCAGACTGGCAGCAGTGGAAATGAGTAAATCTAAAGCAGCTATAGTGTGCTTGCAGGAGACGCGCTTCTGCATCCGCAATACCCCGAGGTTTAACGTCAAACAATACACCCAAAACTATCACGCCCTATCACCGACTAAATCCAGGGGGGTGGCCGTGTACTTCCATAGAGACTGGGTATTTTCACTCTCCAAACAATATGCTAGACGGGATGGGAGGCTGCTGGTTCTGGTGGGTTCCCTGAACGGATTACAAATAACAATAGTCTCACTATATGCCCCGAATGAAGCGCAGAAACAATTTCTAAACAGGGCGTTCCGCACAATTGCACAACACAAACAAGGACACACCATCATATGCGGGGACTTTAATTGCTCCCCTGACCCATCCCTAGATATCAGCAGAATGAACAATGAACCACCAAAGCCAGCCTCTATGGCCTTAGGCGAACGGCTCAGTACCCTTATGCATGAGCATGATTACTATGACACGTGGAGGGCTCTGTATCCATGTGAGAGGGATTACACGTTCTACTCCCCCGTACATATGACCTACACTAGAATAGACTTATGCCTCCTAGACACAAGAACGTTACCCTTTGCAACGAGAGTACAAATAGGCTCAATCACGTGGTCTGACCACGCTCCACAAATTATAACTATAAAAACACCTTACCCAGCTAGGGGACGAGGCACATGGCGCCTCAACGAAGGCCTTTTGGACACACCGGGGAATCTCCGTCAAATACAGGCCAAAACGCAGGAATACTTCGAGACCCATGCGACCTGCCAGACAACAATTATCACCAAATGGCTAGCTCATAAGGCAGTCATAAGGGGGAATTTTATCCAGATTGGGGCGAGAGTAAAAAAGCAATATAACAATGAAAGATCACGCCTTCAACAAGAAATAATCACACATGAAGAGGCACACAAACATAAACCCACCAAACGCACGCACGACACACTGACAAAGCTCAAAACACAACTAAACTCTCTTCACTTAGTGGAAACTGAAAAAAGGATGCGGATCCTCAAACAGACATATTACACCATGGGCAACAAGGCAGGAAAATTACTAGCCCAGCGAGTACGCCAAACCAAATTGCAGTCGAAAATACCCTATATCACCTCAGAGCAGTGAGCAAAACTATATAACCCCCAGGACATAGTCAACGAGTTAGCGCGGTACTTTGCGTCCCTTTACCAGTTAGACAGGGATCGAGGCACTCATCAGCCGACTAAACTGGGAATCACACGTTTTCTAGATCAGATAGATTTACCGAGCCTATCCCGAGAGCAATGCTCCGCACTGGAGGCACCCTTCTCAGAGCAGGAAATTGAAGAGGCCATTAAGTCCCTACCTAAGCATAAAGCCCCGGGCCCAGACGGCTTATCAAATTATTACTATATAAAATTGTCGCCGTATCTGATCGCACCTCTCACCACACTATATAATGCAATTAAAGACTCAGGGGAAATGCTCAAAGAAATGCTAGAAGCTTTCATTGTGACTCTGCCCAAACCAAACAAACCCCCCACAATCTGCGCTAATTTACGCCCAATTTCCCTGCTAAACGCAGACACCAAACTCTACGCTAAACTGATAGCAACTAGACTTAAAAAAATACTCCCAGATCTCATCTCTGAGGAACAGGCGGGATTCGTCCCAGGGAGACAGGTGGGAGACAACACCAGGCACTTTCTGAATCTGATAGATTGGGCAAATTTATCGTCCCAGACTGGCCTGATCTTGGCACTGGATGCCGAAAAGGCCTTTGATCGCCTACACTGGGAATATATGTCGCAGACGCTCCTCAGAATGGGATTCTCCTCAAAAGTACTGTCGAGTATTCTTGCATTATATCGAAATCCGACGGCCAGAGTGTTTAGCACGGGCTTTATATCTGTGATCAAATAGAGATAAGAAATGGTACCCGACAGGGATGCCCCCTCTCGCCCCTCATATTTATACTAAGCCTAGAACCTCTAATTCGACTAATAAACCGCGACCCAGTAGTACAAGGACTCCACACCCCAGGCGGTGTCAAAAAACTGGCACTTTTCGCGGACGACGTTTTAGTATTCCTAACGCGTCCAGAATCCTCACTACCACAACTCATACACAGGCTCGACACATATGGACGGGTATCTTACTATAGGAACAACACGACGAAGACGCAAGCATTGCCTATAAACTTACCGAGCACTATTGTCATGACGCTACAATCACGACACACATTTGACTGGCGTAAAACCTCTCTAAAATACCTGGGGATTAACCTCACAAAGTCCTCTCAGACCACCATACGGGAAAACCACTACCCGGTTATACAAAAGATAAGAACCACACTAGAAAAATGGGAAGGTCTAGAGGTGTCCTGGTTAGGCCGCATTAACCTTATTAAAATGATGGTGCTGCCACACATACTATACCTGTTTAGAACCTTGCCCATCGCCCTCCCCACCAAACTTTTAAAACTCTTCCAAGGCACAATAAATGCACATGTATGGAAACGGAAGCCCCCGAGAGTGGCAAAGGGCGTGCTGGGGCTCCCAGGCACCAGTGGGGGGCTGGGCATGCCGGACATCAAGGCTTACTATAAGGCAACCGTTTTAGCGCAGGGACTCAGGCTATTACGTTCAGCGCCTGCCACCCGTAAACCCGTATGGCTAGAAATGGAAAGTGCCTGTCTGGCAACACGTGATTTGTCACGGAACCTATGGGCAGGGGGACACTCCCAAGATGTAGGGGGGAAACAATTGCAGAGCTCACGGTTTCTTTTAAGGGCATGGAACAACTGGAGCTCCTGTATAGTGAACTCCACAGAGCTCTTTTTAGCAGCACCCTTGGAAACACTAGAAGTACTATCCCCAGACTTGCCGATGGGCCGGTGGAAAGGGAGGGGTGAACTCCGGGTCCAGGACATGCTAGAGGGAGGAAAGATTAAGCAATTCCCCATCCTGCAAAGGGAACTACAGCTACCAGCAAGGGATATCTTCCAATACCTTCGAATAAAAAACATAGTGCACTCGCACATTCAACTCTGCACTACTCATTCCCTCAAACCCCACATAACGCTTAAACAGGCACTTCTCCACAAACAAATCAAACCGCTTTCAGCATGTTACAACGCACTAATCAATTCGGCAGCCCCCGACAATCATAAAACCACATACATGAATCTGTGGGAGAAGGACTTGGGACTCCAAATTCCCAAAACAGAGTGGCTAACGGCTCTGGAAATCACGAAAAAAGCATCGCAAAGCCTCACACTCTGGGAAGCGTATTGCAAGGTGCTAATGAGGTGGTACTTGGTACCACATAGACTAGCAAGTATGTACCCGGGTACGTCCGGGAAGTGTTGGAGGTGTAACATAGGATAGGGAACCATGATCCATATTTTCTGGACATGCCCCTCACTGACAGAGTACTGGGAGGCGGTCCATCTGCTTCTACTAAGCAGGACGGGAATCACTCTCCCCAAGAAGCCGGAACACTACATACTTCACATAATACCCAGCATAGCAACTCACCCCCATAGGAAAGTAGCGGTAAACATTCTAACGGTAGCAAAAATACTGCTAGCCAGCAACTGGAAGAGCAACAAAATACCAGTAGTAGAGGCTATAACACATAGAATGGATATGATTAGCGCATATGAAAAAAATGGCAAATAGGGTAAATGGTAGTAGTATGAGATACGACAGAGAATGGAGTTGCTGGCCAGCGGAAAGTTAGGTAGTAAAACGGGAACCTTGAAAAGGCGATGCCTACACTCACATAGAACAAGGTCCAGATGGGAACAAGGCCAAGATACAAATGGATGCATAGGATTAAATCATCACATGTATAAAATGCTGTCTAGGGTACCCCCCTCTCCCTTCTTCCTTTCTGTATCCCCCCCCCAACCTAAGTTTTGTTACAAAATGAAAGAATAGGTAAAGCTTGTCGGACGTGCATCAAAAGCAGTAATTGTCATGTGTACCGCACCAACACACAAAGATACTAGGCAAATCACATAACACAGTGCCCTCGAGCAGAGAGTTCCAAAGGGAGTGAACCTACCTGGGAAGCATCACAGGCTTCAAAAGTATAATCAAATGTACACACAGTAGATATTAGATCGATACCATGTGGGGCAAATGGTTTACACAGCTGCGACTGTGCGGGGTGTGAATGCCAGAGTGCACTGCGATGCACAAAGTCTGATAATATGCTTGTACCAATAAAAAGACAAATGAGAAAAAAAAAATATAATACACAAAAAAAAGTTTCACACAGAGGACACTGACTGATTTAATTAATACTGACAGACACACTCACTGATTTAATTAATACTGACAGACACACACACTCACTGATTTGACAGACACATTTACTGACCGACACATACACATTCTCTCATACACACTTACTTACAAATTAATTGCGGTTGAATATGTAAAATAACAGAGTGAGTCCAATGTTGGAGTATAGCTAGGTATATGGATGTGGAAAAACACTTGCATTTAGTAGAGCTCCAAACCACCTCTAGGGTATTGTGTTAAATTGAGACACTTTAGGATATATGGGTGTCTGCTTATGATCAGTATAGATCCTCAATAAGACAAGCAATAGAAAGCAGAAGATAGGAGCAATATATAGTGTAGTATATATCGTGCAAACATGGAAAATATATGTATATATTATATGCACTCACATGATTCAGAGCCTTGAAGGGCTCAATTTAGAATAGTGTGAATTGGTACAATCCCCACTCCAGGATAACATTCAGCCAGGTGTGGTGAGCGGTATGATGTAAGACAAAACACAAATCTAGTTCTCTCTGTGGATGACAGCAATGTAGTAGACCATAGAATACTTTTTTAATTTTTCGAGTAATTTATGGTATTGTTCAGTCTGTTTTAGGCTTAAAAGGATAATATACCCGCTGCAGATTGGAGCTGATAAGAGTGTAGTATTACACATAATGCTGCTGTACAAAAATATAGCAAGAACACTAAAAATAGAGCCATATAACAAGCTACCTATACCTAGAAGAAGAGTACGATCAGTGCTAATTCCAGAAAGGGGAATCATAATCTGGTCATATGATCAGGAAGTTTAGTTCTGTCAGAAAACAAACTGCATCCATGTTGTCATGGTGGTCCGGTCACATGATCAGACTAGATAAGGATAGAGAATGAATTATGTGACTTATATTTTTTGATATAATGATCTGACCCAGACGAAAATGCATTCTATATTTAGTTGGGGCTACAGGTACACCAATTATATGGTGAGGACAAAAAAAAAACCAATGTGGAAATCGTAGATAAGGATGCTGTCCATGTGATCGGACCAAAAAATAAATAGTATGCATATGACTATAGAGAGCACTATATTTGTATTTTCTGTTCTGTTGCCTATTGCATGTCTTATTTAGGATCTATACTAATCAGATTATACCAATATATTCTAAGGTGGGGATTGTTTCATCCAAACTTAGTACTCTAGAGCTGATTTGGAGTTTTATTGAATGTAAATGCCTTTCCACATGCATTTTATATACCAAGATATCCTCCACCATTGGACTCTCTCTGTTTTTTATTTTACATATTTATCCATCTGAAGCGCAACTACCAACCTACTGTGAATAATTAGCATTATGCCAGAAATGACTTTAGAAGGCTATCAATTAACAGAACTGTTTTAGTGCTTGTTTTTTTTATTATTCCAATGCATACATTTTTTTAATGTTGTTTTACTAATTGTCTATTATAAACCTGCTACTGTATTCAGTAGAATAGTACTGCATGTGAGTCTGTTTATAATTGATAAAACAGAATATGGTAGTGGTGTTTAATAGTGAAGCACATTTAATTATTTATTTTATAAATGACTTTTTGTGTTTTTGTTTTTTCTTTCTTCAGCTTTTTCAAGAGCTTCCAATTCTGCCTATTATGTCTTATGGTGGAATCCGGCATAAATTCACCAAGACCCGTTATCCCGATGAAGTAAGATTGCTTTTGTTCACTGGTTTTATGGTTTTTTTTGGGGGGGGCTGTTTGGATGTCATGAATATGCAGATGATCTTTTGTTCATTGGCATACTTTGCTTCCCTGGGCATCATTGCCTATTGCCTTAATTTGGTAGAAACAGCAAAGTTGTCCAGGCACTCAAAGTCTTCATACATGATGAAACGAGGATTGCATGTTGGTAATATTGTAATATATGTACGTTTTATTTTGCAGGCCTTCCAGCCAAAGCCTGAAGACCATGAAAAGTATGGTGGAGATCCACAGCAACCACATCAACTGCATCTTATAACGCGAATAAAATCTGGGCTTGGGCGACCACACTGGGAGAAAGAAACTTTGAAAGCTCTTGGTCTGATTAAGGTATCTTTGGATATTAATGTGTGTACATAGAACACAAGGTCACCCTTTTAGACTGGAAGAAATTATATTTAGTCCAAGGCAAAAGGAAAGGTTTTACTTTTTTAATCTTTTTTCTTTTTATTAAGAACAATAAGGATGGGGAAATCTCTGCCTGAAGAGGTGATTTTATCAGACCTTATGCAGATGTTTAAACAGCAACTTGATGAATACTTGCTAACACAATATTCAGTCATATCATTTCTAATATGTGAGGCTTTTTCATCCAAGCAATGATATGACTGCAGTTCTGTGGTTGAGAAGGGATTTTGTTCCTAGCTTTTTGCCTTCTTTTGGGGCAACAGCAAAAACAGATTTGAGAGGCTGAATTTGATGGACCCAAGTATCTTTTCAGCATATATAACCATATGTACCTACTTCTCAATAACATAATCGGACAAGAGGTAAAAATTTGTTTTTGTGTGTATGTATCTCTTTCGATCATTGTTTTTTCATATGTGCCTATCCATAAACATAGCATTTATATTAAAGAAAATAAAATGTTTATATACATACACATATACATACATACACACACACACACACACACAGAATTTATATAAAATTATTTTTATTTTAATATAAATTTTGTGTGTGTGTATGTGTGTGTGTGTGTATATATATATATATATATATATATATATATATATATATATATATATATATACATACACACGCACATAAAATTTATATTAAAATAAAAATAATTTTATATAAATTCTATGTGTATGTATATATGTGTATAGATATAGATATAGATATATAAATTTATTTTCTTTACTATAAATTCTATGTTTATGGATAGACATGAAAAAACAATGAGGGAGAGAGAGAGAGCTACATACATATACATTGCTAAACACAAATACACACACCAGTCAAGCCATAAGACTTGCTTTTCCCACAGTGCTTTTACCCCACTTGCAATACCTTGGGTAGTCTACTTTTGCAAAGGGTATGCCATCATGGGGGTAAACCTCAGTCCTGGGCTACCACACGGTCTCAAAGGTAACATTACTAACCTGGTAAATTTCAATGTGGAAAAAAATGAAAAATGGAATGTGCTATATTTGAAGAAAGGGGAAGAGTCTGCGCTGACTCAATTGAGCAGCAACCCTGAAAGGGAATCCCTCACAGAACCCTTATAAGGCAAAAATTACAGAGAAGGGGGTTGAGGGCTGCGCTAAGTAAAGAATACGTAAAAGAGAGTAAAATTAAATAAAGGTAAAAACCAAAAAGTTCATCCACAAATAAGAGAAGTATAAATAAAACAATCTCACTGGTGTGCAGTGATATAATATAAGTCCTCAAGTGTCACTCCGTCCTTATGGTAGGTGGTCCATATATGTGGAGACAAAAAATAAGAGAAGAAAGGCTTCCAATAGTGAAATATTGTATGTCCAAGGTGTAATATATATTCAAAGGAAAAGGTATTTCACTCACATTTGTTGGAGCTTTATCCAGCTCTCGGAGAAGAGGCACTTAGTGGTTTGATCCCCACTATCGGATATACTGAACAGTTGGTCTGTCCGTCCGGTTTGAAGTTTCTTTAGTGTAGGCTAGGACCTACTCAGATGTACAATATTCGTTATGTTGGGGAGATAGGTCCGCTTTTCCGGTATTGGATAATAGGTGTCCACGAAATATATAAAACAGTATATAGTGCTCGCAGTATGAACAACACAGTAATATGTATAAATAAGTTATACTTACAAAAATAGAGCAGACAGATACAGATTCCACCAGCGCTGTGGAAATAGAGCAGTATCTGTATGCTCTATTTTTGTAAGTATAACTTATTTATACATATTACTGTGTTGTTCATGCTGCGAGCACTATATACTGTTTTATATATTTCGTGGACACCTATTATCCAATACCGGAAAAGCGGACCTATCTCCCCAACATAACGAATATTGTACATCTGAGTAGGTCCTAGCCTACACTAAAGAAACTTCAAACCGGACGGACAGACCAACTGTTCAGTATATCCGATAGTGGGGATCAAACCACTAAGTGCCTCTTCTCCGAGAGCTGGATAAAGCTCCAACAAATGTGAGTGAAATACCTTTTCCTTTGAATATATATTACACCTTGGACATACAATATTTCACTATTGGAAGCCTTTCTTCTCTTATTTTTTGTCTCCACATATATGGACCACCTACCATAAGGACGGAGTGACACTTGAGGACTTATATTATATCACTGCACACCAGTGAGATTGTTTTATTTATACTTCTCTTATTTGTGGATGAACGTTTTGGTTTTTACCTTTATTTAATTTTACTCTCTTTTACGTATTCTTTACTTAGCGCAGCCCTCAACCCCTTTCTCTGCTATATTTGACCCTGTAACTTTCCAAAACACCGTAAAAACTGTTAATGGGGGCAACTGTTGTACTTGTGAGACTTTGCTGAATCCAAATATGTGCTTTTATTTTTTTTTGCAATAAAAGCTAACAGTATTATGACATTTACAGCTAAAATGTGAGGTGGAACTACAAATTAAAAAAAAAAAATAATTTCTGTTTTTTTTTTTTTTTTTTTTTTTTACATTTTACATTCATAATAAATTTTCATATATGAATAGTTCATGAGAAATTAAAGCCCTGTTTCTCCTGAACAAAATTATATATAATAAGTGTGGGTGCACTTAATATGAAAGAGGTGAATTACAGTTGAACAGATCTTTCTCTTTCTCTCTCCTCCCCCCTCCCCCCACCCCCCCATTTCCTGTCCTGAAGGGGATATATATATATATATATATATATATATATATATATATATATAATTATGTGTGTGTGTGTGTGTTTTTATAATTCTTTGTTTATAGATAGGCACATATAAAAAAACAATCAGTCATTACAGAGGCACTCTGTAAATCACCGTCAAATTCCCACCAAAAACATAGCCGCCAAGATCGTATATGGAGACCAATTTAGTAGCCATTAGGTTATGTCTTCTGGATATATAATCCAGTAACTAACCATTGTACTCCTTTCCCGGACTGGACATCATATAGGGAAAGAACACAATAATAAAATGGTTATAAAAATTAACCATTTACATTTTATTATTAACATAAATATCGTTCGCCGGTATCTTCACCGGTGCCATTAGTGGACACCAAAAAAATGTCTAATTGCATGTGCAGCGGCGTCTACTTAGTTGCGCGTGCACGAAACAAATGATCGCGCATGTGCGAAAACTTTGAAAAATAGGTGAATCAAATAGAGTCCAAAAGAGCAGGATATAACGGACTGACAGCCCGAGAGACCATCAAAATAAACCGTAGTTAAATGGTACATTACTTTAAAGGTATGGTGTCCATGAATGTAAATGAGCAAATAAAACATATATCAAAAAGTAAAAATCACATCCACTCAATATGGGCTCATTATAGCATTGATTGATAAATTGAAATTATTGCACAAAATAATAAAATAAAAATGTTACAAAGAAAGTAAAAATAATCTCTGCTGTGCCGGATTCAGTGATTTAGCTACTAAGTGATTATAGCTTTCCAAGTGATTAAAGCTCTGGAGTGATTATAGCTTTCCCCGACAGACATTAGCCTAGACTTAATGCTGGGAGTGAACTGGTTTAATGGGGAATGGTACAGGCAATTTATACATAGACCCCCAGCAGGAGCTCTCCATACAGTTACAAACTCCTCCCCGGCATCTCTGCGTCTGGGAAATAATTGAGTGTACTTTGCTTAAACTAATTATCTTCCAGGCACAGCGGTACAATGTTCAAAACACAAAACACACCAAAATACACACAATACTACAAGGGACCCCTTCAAGTCATATATCCCCAGATAGCTGCATCTGAGCGCCCAACATATCCAAATAGTGCTCAGATCCCATAAATACAGCCGAATCTCCACCGGGGTTAAGTTTTGACCGACCGCACACGTGACGCCTGTTCAAAATAGTTCTATACGAAAAGTGGTAGCAGTCGGTCACTTTCGGGAGTTCAAAACCGAACAAATCACCAAACAGATTTGGCTCTTAGGTAGCGATTGTTCGCCTAGTTCATGCGAACAATCCTACTGAACAGCACTCTTCTGAGGTTTGAAGAAACGAAAGCAGACAAGGATGGTAATAAAGTTCAGCGGTGTTCACAAGTTAGTGTGTCCGATTTTAGTTCCATGCACTTGACGAGCGAACACCATTGTCTGCGTTCGTGTGACAAGATGGCTGCCAACTCAGTTCCCACGTGTTCGTGCATACAAACAGCGGCCACCCAACCGAATACTGAGGTGTGAATCCATTATGGAGGTGTCAGTAGGGGTCAATAGGTTTAACAAGCTCCCAGATGAGCTGAGAACAAGGGGAATTTGTGGGTTTGTTCGGTTACCGAACTGAAATGGGAAAAGGACACTAACAAAGTATTTTCAGCGACAGGGTGTTCTGTCACATATACCATGGGGTTGTTATTCTCCCATAAAGGGTTTGCCCATATCAATGCCCTATCCAGAAGGGAGGTTGATCATAAAACCCACTCTAGCCCTGTTGGTGGGATAGGCTCTAACCCTGTCGGTGACATAAGTTGTAATTCGAAGTGTATGCTGACCTAGTTTAAATACCCTCGGCATGCACTAGGATCACCGCTGTAACGTAAAGGGGACGTCATGAGCGGACATATTAACTGTTGCAACCTCCAGGTTAGGGGCAACAACTACTGGTATGGGATTTTGCGCCTCGGTTTGCAGATGTGCCGTACTGCCTAGTAAAGTCTGCAGAGCAAGGGCAAATTGGTCCATGCTGTGGTCTATATCTTCAAATCGCACGTCATCACCAGAAGCTTGTGGGTTGACGCCTGCAGGGTCCATAGCCCTATTGTAATATCAGTCGTGTGATAACCCAAGACAGTATATAAACTAACCTTAAAATGGTCGGGTTTAACATAGGTAGAAAAGAGTAGTCAAGGGATCGCCAAAAGTCAGGATACGAGAAATCAAGAGAACGATACAAGAAGAGTCAAAATACAAGTCGAGTCAGGGAACCAGAGAAGTCTAAAGCCAAGCCGAGTCAAAACACAGAAATAATATAATCGCAAGGTGAACCAAATAGCACTAAGGGGAACACAAGGAAGCACAATAGGGCAAGGAACAAAGCAAAAGGTGCCCTTTTTATAAGGAAGCGTCTTTTGCTTTAAGGCCACGCTCCCAAAACGTTTTAACTTCTAAATGGAAGAGACTTTGTCAGTGATACTACAGTGGCATGATCTCTATACCAAATCGATTAATTAAAGAAAAAAAATTCTGATGGTTAGTGTTCCTTTTAAGAGCATCACATTATTACTACAGACCTTGTTGCCCATTAACGCTCTTGAAAAAAACTGTTACACTTGTATTAAAAGCAAAAACATGTGCCATTTAAACGGTGTTGAATCTCCTGAATACTCCTCCTCTCCTGAAGAGTTACATGACATTTCATGAGTTGAATATTCTAAATGTGTTATAATATTTTGTCTATAAATTGGAATGATTATTTCTTTCATAGGCTCATCAACCAGTTGTACACAAAAATATTCCTGCAGTTAACGAAAAGCTTAAAATTATCAAGCATTTGATCAGGTTGGTGCCATAATTTATTCATTTTTCATTCAATTCAATCTCTATAAAAAGAATATTCTATTCTGCATGTTACTTTTTTTTGGAAAAAATATCAAATTAAACAGAAATGTGAAACAGACAAAAAGTATAGATGTTAACCTCCCTGCAGGCAACATTCACCTGTCTTCAAATTTATTTCTTCCTAGTTAGCACTTCTCACCCAGCTTATTTCTCAGTCACGTCTCAGTAATTTTCCTTTAGCATATACCTTGTCATGCCTTTCCATGCTCTCTCTCTCTTATGGATTAAACTAGATTTGTAACCTTTTAATGTCTCCATGCCGTCTGGATTATCAGTATAGATAAGTGCACATTTCATTCTTTAAAGGTTTACTCCAAGCACCATGATCAGTTCAATGATTTGAAGTGGTTATGGTGTTTGGAGTTGGTATGTGCAGAATTTCAGTTTGAAACACTGCACATACAGAGTTAAAGCCCTTTGCTGCTTGAGGTATAATTCCACCTCCAACAGCAGGTTTATGTTAAATCTTTGCATATTTGGCATCTGTTGACAACATTCAAAGCATGCTGGTGGCACATCCTCCCCGTTTGTACCACCCCAATCCTACCTTCAGCCCATGCTTTAGGATGTCTTTCCCCTACAGTGAAACACTGAAGAAGTATCAGGTGTCAGAGCTCTGCATTGAATCCTAAGATTTTATTAAATCCCTGTATTGTGTTTTTTTTGTTTGTTTTTTTTTGTTTGGAGTAACCCTTTAATTCTGATAATTGCAGAGGGGTCTTCACACGCCCTAATGCCCACAGTCTGCATAATGGAGCTTGGAGTTCTCATGGTCTCTTTCCCCAACACAGCTGTTGTGATTCGAAGTGCCGAATAGAAGGCAAATGAAGACTGCTTCACTTCAGTATCTCCTTTGTGGCACATTATTTATTTAAATGTGTGAAATAAATGTGTTGCATATTTCTATGTATGATATTATAAATGGTATGCTATATAATGTTTTATTTGTTGTTCTAACAACGTTTGTGTACTTCCAGAGTTCAACCCCTGAAACTGCCTCACGGCATTCCAACAGAAGATGATATATTAGACACTTACCTGAAGAGCAATGGGGAGTTGGTGATTAGAAAGAAGCTGCAAGCAATTGAGACTAAATCAATTGAATCGTAAAGATTCATTCAGAAAAGCATGTGATGGGCAATGCCATATTTATTGAAGTAAACCAGGAAATCATCCAAAAATACTAATTACATGTTGTGTATTGCACATTGGTACATTCAGAAGATGTTGGTATATAATACTCTTATGTGTGTGTACTTTGTAAAATAAATTACATATTTTGTATAAATTATTTGCAAACTGTGTTTATACTGGAAAAAGTAGTATTGTGCTGAAGACCAAAAAAAAGTACAAAATTGTTAGAAAAACTTGTTAAAGGGACACTCCAGGCACCCAGACCACTTCAGCTAATTGGAGTGGTCTGGGTGCTGTGACCCTTTTGCACTTAGTGCTGCAATGAAAAACATTGCAGTTCCAGAGAACTGCAATGTTTACATTGCAGCTCTAAGTCTGCCCTCTGTGGCTGTCTAGCGGGCTTCCGGAATCCAAACCGACCTTTGGTCAGCTATCTGACACTGGACATCCTCAGAAGTGGTGGCCTGATCCAATTACAATGCTTCCCCATAGGATTGGCTGAGACTGACAAGGCGGCATATCAGGGGCAGAGCCAGCACAATTCAAACACAGCCCTGGCCAACCAGCATCTCATTAGAGATGAACTGAATCAATGAATCTCTATGAGGAAAGTTCAGTGTCTGTATGCAGAGGGAGGAGATACTGAATATTTAGATGCATTTTAGGCAGCCACGACTCAGGAAGGATCTCTAACAGCCATCTGAGGAGTGGCCAGTGAAGTTATCACTAGGCTGTAATGTAAACACTGCATTTTCTCTGAATAGATAGTATTTACAGCAAAAAGCCTGACGGTAATGATTCTACTCACCAGAACAAATTCAATAAGCTGTAGTTGTTCTGGTGACTATAATGTCCCTTTAAATAGGTGCCCAAATCCAAAACGAAAAAAAGGTTGTCACATACACAATCTCAAGTCGAGGACCGGTAGGTATCTAAAGAAACCACAACCAAGCCTCTACTTGATACAATGCAAGCCATAAAACCCACATAAAGTAAAGAGTGGGAAAGACATAAATTGCCAGAGGCATCGGCAACACCGATAGTCCTCTTTACTCAGCAACCTTTTTGAAGTGAGTTAAGGTACATGGCCCACATCTAAGAGACCCTCTGATGCGTACCTTCAATCCAAATAGATTGCTGAGTAAAGAGAACTGTGAATGTTACCAATGCCTTGGGTGTGTCACATGTAGAGACATGAGACCAGGTAAGACCTTTTCACATACCCATACTGTGGCAGTGTTTCATATTAAACACTGTATTACCTGCACCTCTATGTTTGTCATTTTATAAGCTACAATGTCAATGTGGACTTTCGTATATAGGTGCATCAAACTACGTGAGAGGATTTGGGGACATCACTGCTCTATAAGCACGACTTACAGGGATGCTCATTTGGACAAGTCGATGGCTAGACACTTTGTACAAATAGGGCGCACACTTCTCTCCCTACATTTTATGGCCATAGACTCTGTTCCAGATTCGTCCCTTGGGTTGTACGAGCCAATTAGTTATTCAAATTTGAATGTTTCTGGATCATCACATTGGATACCTTTGCTCCCCAGGGTTTCACAAAAATAAAAAAGACTCATTGTTGCTGACTTGCTAACTAGGCTGATCAAGAATGACTATTGAAGCCTTGTAGCTGCTGGCTGGTGTGTACTGGGGTACTGCTACTTTGTTTCTGAGCATGATCTTTTAAAACTTTGTTTCTTTTATTTCGGAAAACAGATTTGTTATTTTAGCCTTTATAGGTGTTAGTATGCTGTATTTGCACTTTAAAAAATAAATAAAAAAGGAAGTCCAAGTGGATTGAAATATTGATGCTGTTTATGTGCCAATATCAAAGCTGCTTAGAAGTAAAGTGGTGAGTTTGATCACTATTTAGTCTCCTGAATGCTCTTATGTTTATAATATATTATATTCAAGGAACACTATAGTCACCTAAATTACTTTAGCTAAATAATGCAGTTTTAGTGTATAGATCATTCCCCTGCAATTTCACTGCTCAATTCACTGTTATTTAGGAGTTAAATCGCTTTGTTTCTGTTTATGCAACCCTAGCCACACCTCCCCTGGCTATGATTGACAGAGCTGGTTTCAATTTCAAACAGATGTAATTTACCTTAAATAATTGTATCTCAATCTCTAAATTGAACTTTAATCACATACAGGAGGCTCTTGCAGGGTCTAGCAAGCTATTAACATAGCAGGGGATAAGAAAATCTTAATTAAACAGAACTTGCAATAAAGAAAGCCTAAATAGGGCTCTCTTTACAGGAAGTGTTTATGGAAGGCTGTGCAAGTCACATGCAGGGAGGTGTGACTAGGGTTCATAAACAAAGGGATTTAACTCCTAAATGGCAGAGGATTGAGCAGTGAGGCTGCAGGGGCATGTTCTATACACCAAAACTGCTTCATTAAGCTAAAGTTGTTCAGGTGACTATAGTGTCCCTTTCAATAGGTAATTTTGAAAGTTCTCTATCATGAAAGATACAAAAATATTTTCCTTCATTTTAAGGGATATTTAATTTATTTTTTAATATTCTTTATTTTTATTGTGCAAGGCATAACAACACTTACGCTGCCACAACAGCAGATGCAAGTAAAATGGATTTAACATAGCAAATACAAAGGCATGGCAATAATAATCAGCACATTATTTTATAATGAGAAATAGAAAAATTGCAGGCTAGTATGTCACTCAGATCCGGAATATAGGGAAATGGAGTTGCATAGCCTGTTAAATTGCCTGTTCGGTCTATCGCCTCTTATGAAAGAGTAGGTAGGTGCAGTTAGTGACATTTTGAGCCGGTATAGGCCTTATACCTCTTGATTAGTAGCCAGGAAGTCAATGTGGGTCTATATATACAAGAGGGTGACACGGTGGCACTAATGTAAAGTCAGAGGGTGGGTGGGGGTTAAGAGGTGTATCCCTCAAGCCAGCAGATGGGGGAAATTATGTGTCAGCGGGTATCTTAATTAGTGTCGGGTTCCAGGTAAGATTAACGTAAAACATCAGTTAAACAGTGAAACAATCAGTTATAAGCAGAACAGAGCATGAACTGATAAGAGTTAGAGGTATTGCGGTTTAATGAGTTCTTCAGGAGATAGCTGCCGAAGCAGAGTTGCCTCGTTTGGCACCCGGTACAGCTTAGCGAACCTTAGCTGGGTCCCAGGTGTGTGGTTGCGGTGCTTGGGTTGTTGGTATCGTGCCCTCTGGTGGCATGGTCAGTCCCTGTTGCTGTAGGGTGCTTTTAATTTCCGTGACCTCTTGGACTTCTAGATTCCCTGAGTCCTGCTCGGGGTATCAGCAAGCATTTTGGGGTGCCCCATTTGTAAGATATGTTGTGTCGTATCAATTCCGTTGTCAGCGGTTATAAGGACCTGCGCCACTCCAGTGTTGCTCTGGATAGAACATTAGCGTGTGATCTTCGAAGTCATATGGTGATCTATTCCGCATGCCATTAGGAACGCTTGCCTATCCGGCCCATTTTGAAATCGGACGATGACATCCCTGTTCACCTCGGTGGAGCGTGATGTAGGCGCCGGTAATCTGAAGCATCCATCCAGGGCCATCATTTTGGCCTGCTTGGCTGAGGAGAGGTGTGTGAGAAACCTCCTGACTAGGTGAGGGATTTCAGCTGAGCCCATCTGCTCTGGTATGCCCCTTATCTTAACATTTTTCCATCTTCTGCGGTCTTCCATCATTGCAATGCATCTCTGAGTCTGGGCCTGTTCACAGTGCATCTCACGTATCTCTTGTTCCATGTTAGTTAAGTGGCTCTCATGAGCGGCCGTGGTTATCTCAGCGTAGCGTAGCGTCATAGAGGCGCCTCAACACTCCGCTAATCTCCTCCTTGAAGGATTTAATATCAGCAGCTAGATTGCTGTGGAGGACGTCAAGGAGGTCCTTCAATCTTCCTTCTGTCACCGGTGACCCCTTGGAGCGCTTTACAGGTAAGTCAGCTCTCGGTCTTCTGGTGATGGGGGCCAGCTCCTCCATGTCTGGGAGGGATGTTTCGCTGGATGAGTAAGACAGCCTGTCGGAGAGAGGCTTCATTGCTCCTTGCTGCCTTCTCAGGAGATTTCTGATGTCAGCGGTTGTCGAGATTTTGTCCTCTTTATATTTTTTTGTTTTTCGCCCCATAGTTAGTGGGAGCGGTTCCTCTCTTTTGGCGGTCAGGTACCATGCTGAAAAGGCAAGTATTTGGGCTTTATTTGCAGAATGGCCCGGAGCTCTCGTTTTGCATCCGGACAGTATTGAGGGATATTTAATTTCTGATGCTAAAATGTGCACATTTTTTCTTTTGAGTTGCTAATCATTCCAGGGTATTTAAAGGGACACTCCACTACCAAAGAAAATAAATAAATACTGTGTAGAACAGTGGTTCCCAGAGGTACAATTGAGCCTCCGGAGGTACACAAAAAAAAAAATCTGGTAATGGTGGCGATGCAACAGCCCTGCACAGGCTGGGGAACGCAATGTGAGCAGGTCCAACGGGTGGCCCATGCACTCAGGGCTACCCGATGGACATGAGCCAAGAGGAGCCCTGTCGTGCGCTGCAGCGCTTTAATAGCGTGACCGGGCCCCTTCTAACCTGATAGGAGAGCTGGGAGGGAGTGAGTGCAAGTCGCACACTTCCTCCTAGATATAATCAAGCTGCGCAGAAAGGGGCGGGGTGGAGAGGACCGGACTGGGACCTTAACTCACAACAGCTTCAGCCACAGAAGCCACCCAAAAGGTTTGTGTATGTGTATGTTGGGTGTTAGTATGTATGTAGTGTTTGTATCTTTGTGTGTGCGTCAGTGTATCTGTATACCAGTGTATTTTTTTGTGAATCTGTATGCCTTTGTGTGTGCGTCAGTGTAGCTGTGTGTCTGTGTATCTGTATGTTAGTGTATCTTTGTGTGATACCAATCTGGTATCCACGGTTGAAAAGGCAAAACATCTGGGGTTTGTACTTTTACGTGAATATCTTCCTTCCATGTACCGACATTGTAAATTGTTTTCATTTGAAAAATGTTTTTGGGAGTTACATATGGTATGGCCAATAAAAAGCAAATCTCCATGTGTTCCGGATCAATTAAGAGAGGTATACCACTCGCCATCTCAACGGCCAGATTTAATTGCATAAGTTAAATTGTCTCTCCATCCACACTGGCAAGCTTTGCATGAACAATATCCTTGGATACAAAACACAGAGGTATGCGTCCCCCTGCCAATTCGATCATTCTGGTTTGCACTTCGTCAAGAAAAGCAAGTGTGTGGAACAATATTGGGTCATGCAGAAATAGAAGTTCACGCTTAAATAAGTCGTGACTTTGGTGCAACTCAGTGGACTTGGCAATTAACTGAATTGAATGCAAATTTGTTGTAACAACTGTGTCTTCCACAATAGTTAACACGTCTTGGAGAAGTGTTCTTTGCTGTTTTATCACCTGATGAATATCGTTAATGTGTTGCTTTAGCGCATAGATTTCCATATCCAGCTTTTGGACAGTAATAGAGTTGGCTGCAGACATTCCAGTTGCGACAACTGCACCGACAGTGGCACAAACTAATGCAACAATTATAGCGGTGAGGAACCTTTTTGGTCATTTGCTCATTGAAATAGAACTGGATACAAATGGTTTCCGGGCTTGTACTGTGTTTTGCACACGGTCCTGTACTCTTTGGAGGTGCATCTGGTACCAAGTTTGTAACTCAGGAAGCTGCATCGATGAAATGTTGTACACCTTCTCGATGGAAATCTTGGGGTCCAAGCTGACGAACACATGTTGGGTCAGGATCCTCTTCTCTGTCAAGATGAACCCTGGTGTCTTTTGAATCAGGATGCCGGAGGATGGTCCCATCTCTGCGATCGGCTCGGTCCGTAGCTCTTGGCACAGGAGCAGTACGATCCAGAAACACGCCACATCCTTCTTGGACATCTTTCGACAGTCACGGATTAGGAACTCGTCTCAGACTTATCTAATAATGATTCAAGGTTTGTTAAGCATACAAACTTATAACAGTGTGACATCACTTGGCCTAGGACAACGCATTATTCCGATTCATCAACGTTATGTATTCTAATTATATTTTTATAAATTCATCCTTCACTACATTTATTACTGACTCCTCAGTAATTCGCCTATAGCAGCTAAACAAGCTAGTAACCTGCTCAGATAATGTAGTTATTGGATGGTAAGGAAATGGTTAATGACATGAACGTACATGAGATCATGGCACATCACAACATTTCACATCATACGATACCACGTGAATCAAGCATTCATCCAGGTTAGTCGTTCACTCTTCTGCATCCTAATCCACACCTATAATCCTTAATTGAGATTTAGGATGACAAGCTCGCAACTGGTTAATGTGAACCCACTTTTCAATAAGGAATAGGAATTTTTATCTTGTACGCTACTGGGGAAATTTTGTCAATTATGACATATGGCCCTTTCCAAGAAGGTAAAAATTTATTTTCCTTAACTTGATTTTGCGCAAAGTTATACAGATAGACTTGATCTGTTATTTCATATTCCTTTTTCATGGTTTTTAAATCGTAATAGGTCTTAACCCGTCGCTGCTTTTTCTAGATTCTTTTGGGCAAAAGCAAACGCATGCTGTAAGTGCTTGCGCAAATCTTCGATGCACTGATGTGTAGTGGCAGCATTGATCAAGTTATGATCCGAAGTACGATATAGTAAATGCTGTGGTAAAACCATCTTTCTTCCTGTCATCAATTCAAAAGGTGACAATCTGGTAGCAGTGCTAGGTGTAGCTCTAATCGCCATTAAAACTAGGGGCAATTTAATGTCCCAGTCTTTACCAGACTCCTTAACATACTTTTTTAGAATATTAACGATAAACTGGTTATATCGCTCAACCCCCCTTCCCCCCCCTCCCCTCCCCCTAGACGCAGCGTGTTATGCTATATGTAGCTTTCGTTTAACACCTAGGATTTTCCACATCTTAGCCATTACTTCGCTGGTAAAATGACTACCTCTGTCTGACTCAATTCTTTGAGGCAGACTGAACCTGGAAAGGACATGGTTAATCAACAAAGTGGCGCACACGGTACTTGTGTTCTCTTTATAAGGCAAACACTCTATCCACTTTGTGTACATACATGTAACGGTTAACATGTATTTGTTACCTCTTGAAGACCTTGTTACATGACCTATAAAGTGAATTTGAATATCAGACCAGGGTAATGACACCCCCCTCTTCTGAAGTGGTGCACGATGGGTTGGACCATGGGGTTGATATTGCGGACAAATCAAGCATCCCTGACAGTGTCTTCACATCTCTTAACATGTGTGGCCAATATGCATAATCACATATCTCATATGTAATCTTATCACCATGATGCCCAGATGTAGGTGCATCATGTGCGTGTTGGAGCATTAACCCTCGGTATACAGTTGGGACTACCCATTGTTGTATGCCACGTTTACAATTTCTGACAAGCAACCCATCCATGATACTAAATTGGACTTTATATCTTATCAAGATTCGTAAATCTTCATTATTTTTGCAATCCTCATCTGTGATGGGATTGGCAGTAGGGTCCTCTATATGTTTATAGAATATGCCTATAACGGGATCATTCTTTTGACTGGTAATCAGGTCTTCACTAGGAGCTTCTTGACTCCATTGCACAACATTTAAGTCGGCATTATCTCTAGCCTGTCGTCTAGTCGTCAAAGTGTAGGGTTTCACCACTGATGGCTGCTTGTTTTGCCAGTGAATAGGCTAAGTCATTACCTTCCTTGTCAATACCTTGTATTTTAGAATGGCCTTTGGTTTTCTTCCAGTATATGGTTAAACCATTTTCCTTAACAAGTTAATCGATTTTGCAAAACAATTTCCCATGTTTGACAGGTTTGTAATAGTGTTTTTTAGCATTTGGTTACGTTTCCAGCTAGTCAGATATTCGACGAAACTGTTGCGAACATAGTTGGAATCAGTTATGATAACAAATTCTTTGATTCCATATTCTATTGCCATTTGAATGGTCTTATATACTGCACAGAGTTCAGCTATCTGACTGCTTTTGGAATCGATATTGTATCCTATAGATACATTGGGATAATCACCTGTCCAGGCGATTCCGATACCTGCAAATAACTTTCGTTCATTACCAGCAGTGTTGCGATATGAACAACCATCAATGTAAACCCACGGAAGTGGTCGTCAGTATTCCTCGTCATAAACTTTATAAGGGGATAGCAATTGCTCTTCAAGGAAGTCATCCCCGGTGTCATTATCATCCAGAGACGGAGCAGTACAGTCATGTAATTCTGCTAAACCTTGGGCAACTGGGTTTCTCTTATTATGTTTATAACGGACTTCTAACGGCCATCCCTGTAAGGATAGAGTCCATGCAGTAAGGACATTAGGTCCTCCCCCTCATTCTAATTTAGGGCCCCCACCCACTGCTCAAGGGTGGGGGCCAGGGGGGAGGACATTAGATCCCCCCCTTATTAGTATTTAGGGCCCCCAACCGCCGCTCAGGGGGGGGGGACATTAGTTCCCCCCCCTTATTCCAATTTAGGGCCCCCGCCCACCGCTCAGGGGTGGGGGCCAGGACGGAGGACATTAGGTCCCCCTCTTATTAGTATTTAGGGCCCCCAACCGCCGCTCGGGGGTGGGGGCCAAAGGGGAGGACATTAGGTCCCCCCCCTTATCAGTATTTAGGGCTCCCACCCACCACTCAGGGGGGGGTCAGGGGGAGGACATTAGGTCCCCCCTTATTCCAATTTAGGGCCCCCACCCGCCGCTCAGTGGTGGGGGCCAGGGGGAGGACATTAGGTCCCTCCCCTTATTAGTATTTATGGCCCCCACCCACCGCTCAGGGGTCGGGGGGAGGACAATAGGTCCCCCCCATCATTTTACTTTAGGGCCCCCACCCGCCGCTCAGGGGTGGGAGACGGGGGGGCAATAGGGGGGACCCTATTTTTTTTTTTAAACAGTGAGCAGCCATGAGCTGCTCACTGTTTACTAGACATGCCCCTACTACCGGTATAGCGAGTAGGGGCAAAATTTACTAATACTAAGTAATTTTTACTTAGTATTAGTAAATTTGGCTGAAAGACCAATTTAGGTCTTTCAGCCTTTTGGTAGATAACTCCTTAATACCGTGGGAATTAGGGAGTTATCTACTAAGCGGCTGGAATAGAAGTCCCGAAGTCCTGAAATTCCAAAATTAAGAAGTTCCGAAGTGTCAAAGTACCGACGTTCCAAAGTGTTGAAGTGCCGAATTGCCGAAGTCCCGAATTGCGAAAGTCCCGAATTTCGGAATGCCGAACCGAACCGAAAATTTTCACTAGCACATACGATTACATAGGTGGGATTCTTACCAATACTTACCATTGGTGTATATGTTACCACTGTCCCTAATTGTTGTATCCTATTGGATAAACAGATTAGGGCGTCAGAGTTTTCCAATCTCTGACCCTTCTTGACCTGTAGGGGTAAAAGAAAGTTACTTGTCCCTTGTGGAATGGTTATGTCATCAGGTACTTGGATATTTACCGCATATGGTAGTATTTGTCCTGATTGCAGGGCATTTTTCTTGTGTTGGTATCCACAAGGATTACCTTTTAACCTTGTCCACAAGTTGGAATTAATCAGGTCAAGGTGTATGGCAAAGCAATGTATGACATCATTGCCAATGTAAACCTGATAGCGAGGTTCGTCTATCACTAGGAATAAATGTTTAACCGTCTTATTTCCGATGGAAATAGATAGTAAACATTTTGCTATCACATTGTGACTCTCGGATTCGCCATCCATGTTCTGGATCCACCTGTCATGTTGGGAAGCGTACCTGATCATTTTAGGATTAGCGATCTGCTTTAACAGACTTCTGCTAATATAGCTGTTCTCACTTTTTAAGTCCAGCTTTGCATTCCTACATCTTCCCAAGTCATTTATTTGAATAGGAAATAATAGGTTGTTATTAGCCCTTTCAATTCTGGCAAGGTATCGAGCATGACCTGCCAGATCAACAGATTCAACATAGTCCCTATGGAGAGAAATGGTTAAAACATCACCTTCCAGAGAGACATTCTGGATTCTCTCTGGAGCAACTCTTACGGAATGTTCATCTACAGATGTGATTGCGTCATTCACCTGCAGGATAGTCACGTCAGGTGACTGACTATTCCTAAAATGTACCTCAATAGAGTCAGGTCTTTCTTCTATCACATGGCAGTTATGATCAGATTGAACATGTGATTTCTCATAGGTTATAGAAACCTTAGCTTGTGACCATACAATTCCATTCACACAGTCAATAATTGTGTTAAGTCTTCTGAGTAGGTCTATACCCAGAATCAGTCGGGTGTCTAAAGGTTTTGTTACCTATTTTAAACTTTAACCAGGCAGTGCCAATAACATGAAGGGCATTTCCTCCTACACTCAACAGATCATTGGGGAAATGTTTTAGCTTCGGCTTATCCATTGCTAAGTCCTTTACCTGCTCAAAGTAGGTATTGGATAAGATAGTGGCTTGTGAACCATTATCTATTAACCCTTTGAAAGGTTGGGGTAGCAAATCCTGTATTTCTACAGACATGTAGTACCTTCCTTCATGTTCTTCTAATTCACATAAGAATTTAGAATGTGTCAACATATCACTCGTTTTTCATACGTTACCTGTCACAGCAGTAGTTTCTACCTTTACTGAGGAATGATCAGTCTTACCCACAGGCCCATCCTTCTTAGGAATATCTTGAACTATCAAGCGGGAACTAGTGGTCGGCATCTCATCAGTTAACCCTTTCAGGTCTGGATCCTGGAAACTAGTGGCTGCTGGGACTATTTTAGCCTTTGGCTGAAATGAAAAAGTAGAGGGACACATTGCGTCTCCTTCACCCGGAAGTGAAGTGACGGGGTAGGCAATAGGTTTCTTAACACAACTATTGTTTGTTTGACTGTGAGGATTTGGAAAGGAAACAGGGTTAGGCATTACATCTACTGACAACCTAGCATGTTTAGTCACAGTGGCTATTATTGCTGCGGCACCTGTTGTCGCTGCTGCAGTTGCACAGGTGGCTCTGCAATTGGAGCTGTCCCTAAAAAAGGATTTCTGGCATGAAAATACAGATCTTTGAATTCTGTACTTTCATACCTGGGTTTCCTTTGGGCCACGGAATAACAATTGGCGTTTCATAGAAATGCGTAGTTGATTTATGATCCCTTCTATTTTCCTTTCTTTTTGGTAAACGTCTATGCGATCTGGCTGCTGAAGAGGAATTAGATCCGTATAACAGTGCAGATGGCATATCAGTCACATGGCCTTCAGAGTGGACAGTGCAATCACTTTCACTCTCATCACTCTGAGCTTCACGTTCACTGTCACAATTATGATCAGCATCAGAGTTTTGCCAGTGCACAAAACTATGTCTGTTTTGTTTTTTTAACCTGATTCCCTCCGTCAAGTTTGCCCAAGACAGTCTTTTCAAACTGTTCTGCCCAAGATTGCCAGGATTGTTTGGCAATATCATGAGATGGGGAATCCTGTTCCACAGGTGTTTTCTCTGAATTACTCACATCTTTTCTTTGAGACTGTTTTATGAAAACCTGGTCTGGTGTGGGAAAATCATAATAAGGAGGGGATTTACAGATAGTCCTTTTTGCATTTTTGAGCAACTTCTTGGCACACAATGATGACTACTAACCTCACTGTCTGATTTCTGACTCTCCTTTTCATACTCATCTAATTGCGTTTTAAGTTGATTTATTTCCTGTGCATATTTATCCGTCAAAGCTTTCAGTTCTTTTTCATGATCAGCCTGACGGGCTTCATGCTCAGCAAGTAAATCTTGGTATTTCCCAGTTTGAATGCCCAGATTGTCACTGTATGTGTCCAATCTGGCATTCAGTGCCTTGTTTTCTTTTAAAGTCTTAAGAAGTCCAGTCATAAAGAAAGGCCAAGAGTGTATTATAAACCCCATTTTTTTCTCTATGTTAGTTTGTCCACCAATTGCTTTAAGATGTGCTATTATTGGTGAATCACTTAGAATGGTCTTTTTAGCTTCCAATTCTATGCCCTTCAACCAATCTTCATAGCTTAAATCATTCTTCATATGTTTATGAATATGGACTAAAGTATTTTTTCTTAGGTCTTTAATTATTTCATCATTGTCTGATACAGATGGATTGCTGGCCATATTTCTATACACTGATTTAATCTCAATACAAAACTCTTTTCTATATCAAGATTAATATTGCATGAATTACACAAATAGCAATGCCTCCATATTATTGTATGGAATTAATTTCAACTTAATGATCTCAGCAGTGCCTCTAATTTGTGGGGATATTTTTGGGGTGATAAATATTAAAAATAATATTTTCATAAAAATTATCAAAAATTAATTTAATAATTTTTATTATATCAAAATTGATATATCGAGAATTACCCACTATTTTTAATTCTCTTAGATCCTAGAGAACGATCATTATGAGGATTTTATTCCATACAATAAATCACAAATTCTATTATAAAAATATAATTTATTGTGACATCATAATAAAATAATAATATGTAACATGCGTGGTAATAATCAGTGAATATTTAGTAAAACATAGGTATACAATATAATGGCAGTGGTTTTAAACAAATTCAATGGCTACAGCATCAACTGTCAAGACTTACAAATTTACAATATGTAAACAATCCCACAGGACACAGAAAGCTAAACTTCACAGGACACAGAATTTCTCACAGTGCACAGCGCAGTGAAAAGCCATAAAATCTTGGCTCACAGTTAGATCACTTGATTAACTCTTTCAACGCTGGCTAAATCCTCCTAGGCATATAATATCCTATTCTATTGCTATTTTTTATTAAAATAACGTTCATATCATTAACCATTCCATGGAACCATCCAATATGAAACAATCTACCAGATTTTTACAAAAGCCGAGTTTAACTCTATATAAGATATACAATCTTATTTCAGAGCAAATGGATAAAAAAAGAGATATGCTAACACATTAATATAAAATTATCTTGATTCCACCTGCAGAATGGAATGTTTATATATTCTTTAGTTAACTAAGATTTCTAAATATTGAAATCCTACCGTGATTTATCCAGTCATATATCATGCTATTAGTAGATTTATAATTAATTTAAATTAATTAAATAAAACCAGCATAATTATCAGTTATATTGTAGATGTTCTCATCAGATAATTAGATAGTCCCAGGAATGAATGGAAGTGTGGTTAATGTTTGTAAGGAGGTGTGCATGTGATAGAGAAAGAGATATTGGTTAGAAAATAATTCTAAGTGTCTAGGAAGCGTTTCTTGAGTTGTGTCCATGAGTTTGAGAGTTGAGTGTTAGTCCCAGAGTGTCCTGAATATCTGTCCTCGATCTCTCTGAATGTCCGAATTCGAATCTAAATGTGAATGTCCTGATCTGAATCCCCTGTCTTCCCTTTGTTCTAACTTTTTGAAGGGCCAGACTCTCTGTACGTCATTAGTTGATCAGGCGAATAGGAAACTATAGGTGTGTCTAGTTTATCTAGTATTATCTAGTTTTTAGTCAATAGATGGCGCCCTTATATCACCAAAATGTTTTTGTCCTCGCAAGAGTTAACTAATTTTGATGACGATTCTGACGTAATTTGGCTTATCTAAAATAGCCACCATAACTAACAAGAACTGTCAGCTTCAAAGGGTTTCTTTGTTTTTTCTCCAGATAGAGCGTCGACAATCCGTGTCGTATATCTACATTCTGACCGCCTAAACTAAGATTCACCCTATTTCTTACAATGAGAACTTGTAAGATTTAGAAAGTAAAATTAATTACTGAGTCTTATCTATCACTGGTATCTGGCTTTCTTATGTCTGGTCCTTTTGTGAAGCTGTATGTGTAGGATTATTTTTCTAGTCCACTAATATTTATTAAATAATATGATATTTCTTCATTGATATTTATCAATGAATAGTCTATATTATTAACATAATACTGATTATATGTAGTTAATATAATAGTAAAATAAGTATATAGTGGTTAGATGTATATATAATGTGTATACTTTTCTCTGGACTTATTGATCCATCCCCCATCCTTGCTGGGAGACTGCATTGCTTTGTTTACATAATGCATTCCTTGCTCAGGCTTGACGTTAGAGAAATGAAAGAAATTTTGTGTCTGTCTTGCCTGAAATCCAAAATGGAGTCTGCTCTGTTTTAAGTGTGACTCTGGCGATAGACACTTTTAATTTCTATTTTAGCACAAAATGTCTGTTGATATAAATATTCTGTCAATCCCCAGCACACAAACAGACACACTACATCATCAGCACACACACATACACACTACATCCCTAGCATACACACAGACACACTACATCCCTAGTGCACACACAGACACAATGCAACCCCAGCATACACACAGAGACATGCTACATCCCCAGCACACAAACAGACACACACTGCATCCCTAGGACACACACAGACACACTAGATCCCTAGCACACAAACTACATCCCCAGCACACACATCGTCTCACTACATCTCCAGCACCCACACCCCTACATCTCCAGACTAATGGCATACATCCCACATGACAAATTAACTTACTCCTTTTTGGTTTGATATTGTTAGTGATTGACGTATGTTGTACTTATTATTATTATTATTATTATTATTATGATATTTATAGAGCGCCATCAAATTCCGCAGCGCTTTACAAAGGGGTGGACGAACAGACATGTAGTTGTAACCAGACAAGTTGGACACACAGGATCAGAGGGGTTGAGGGCCATGCTCAATGAGCTTACACGCTGGAGGGAGTGGGGTAAAATGACACAAAAAGGTAAGGATAGTGTTAGACTAGTGACAGTTGCAGAAGAGGAATCAGTCAGGAACTATTAACAGTTTAATTGATACGCTTTTATGAAGAAGTGGATTTTTGATGATTTTTTTAAGGAGTGGAGACTGGGTGAGCATCTAACGGTGGAGGGAAGCGAGTTCCACAGGAACGGTGCAGCCTTCGAGAAATTGTGAAGGCGAGCATCAGAGGTGGGAGTATGACAGAAGATAGACGTAAGTCTTCAGCAGATCGTAAGGGCCTAGATGGGATGTACTTGTGTATAAGGGAGGATAGATAGGTGGGAGCAGCATTATGTAGAGATTTGAAAGCAAGAACCAGAATTTTAAATTGAGCTCTATATTTTATAGGAAGCCAATGTATGGACTGACAGAAGGGTGAGGCATGGGAGGTGCAGGCGGACAGGAAGATGAGCCTCGCCACCGCATTCATTATGGACTGTAACGGCGCAAGTTGGGAGCACGAAAGAACACTGAGAAGCGGATTACAGTAGTCAAGGCGAGAAAGGACAGTGGAATGGACCAACACCTTAGTCGCATCTGGCGTTAAGTAGAGGCGGGTGCACGCAATGTTTTTGAGATGGAAATGACAGGATTTGGCGATAGATTGAACATGAGGCTTGAAGGAGAGGTTGGAGTCAAAGAGAACACCTAGGCAGCGAGCCTGCGTGGTGGAGCTGATGGTAGCATCGTTGACTTGGAGGGAGACAGACACCGGAGTAACAACGCTTGAGGGAGGAAAGACCAGAATTTCAGTTTTGGTCAAGTTTAGTTTAAGGAAGTGGGCAGCCATCCAGTTAGAAATAGCAGAGAGGCAGTCAGATACACTAGTCAAGAGGGACGGGGAGAGATCAGGAGAGGACAGGTAGATTTGCGTGTCATCTGCATAGAAATGATATTGGAAGCCAAGGAGCTAATGAGTTTACCAAGGGAGGCAGTATAGATGGAGAACAGTAGGGGACCAAGGACTGAACTTTGGGGGACACCAACAGAGGGGAGTTGGGGAGAAGAAGCAGAGCCAGAGAAAGAAACACTGAAAGAGCGCTGGGAGAGGTAGGAGGAGCACCAGGAGAAAGCAATATCTTGTAGACCGATATTGAGATGGATGAGAAGAAGCTGTTGATGATCAACAGTGTCAAAAGCCGCAGACAGGTCAAGGAGAATTAGGATAGAGTAGTGACCACGAGATTTTGCAGCTAATATTTTATTACCACTGCAGAAACAAATATGTAGTCACGTTTCATTTAGTGTGCATTTATCTAAATATGTTACTGGAATGTATTTATCTAATCATGATGTATTTCATTTTGGTTTTACTTATCATAATACAACATAATGAATGTGGGAGTGTTTTGGGGGACCCAGGCAGAAAAATGTCTTGCTGGCCCTGGTATCTGTGTTTGTCATTGTGTCTGTATGCATGTGAGCATGTGTATCTATGTGTCTGTATCTGTATGTGCATCAGTGTATATGTGTGTGTATGTGTATATCTATGCCAGTGTGTTTAACTGTATGTCTGTTTATCTGTGTGTTCATCTGTATATTTGTGTGTGTGTCCGTTTATATGTCAGTATATGTGTCTGTGTATCTACATGTGTATCTGTGTCAATGATTGTATCTGTGTGTCTATGTATCTGCATGTGTGGCAGTGTCTGTATCTGTGTATCTGCATGTGTGGCAGTGTGTTTATCAGCATGTCTGTTCAACTGTATGTATATCAGTGTTGCGATCTTTTTACCTGCATGTGTGGCAGTGTTTGCACCTGTTTCTGCACATTTGTATATGTGTTAGTGTGTGTATAAGTATGTCCTTGCAACTATATGTATGTCAGTGTGTGTCGCAGTGTGTCTGTGCAGCTGTATGTGTGTCAGTGTTTACATCTGCATGTGTGGAAGTGTTTGTGCCTGTCTGTACATCTGTGTGTGTGTCAATCTGTGAGTTTGTATCTGTATGTGTTAGTGTTTTATCTGTATGTATGTCTCTTCATTTGCATGTGTATCTCAGTGCTTGTATTTGTGTCTATGTATTTGCATGTGTGTCAGTGTGTGTAACTGTATTATGTATCTGTACGAGTGTATCATTGTTTGTATCTGTGTGTCTGTATATCTGTATGTATGTCAGTGTTTGTATCTGTGTCAGAATTTGTATCTGTGTATCTGCATGTGTGTCAGTCTGTGTGTGTGTGTGTGTGTGTATCTGCACTATGGTGAGCCTGGAACAAAGAAAGGGGGAGATGGGACACAGAAAAGCATATCAAGTTGAAATAACAGCAACTATAATAATTACAAATATTTCGCTAATATAAGGGGTACAATTTGTGGAAATGGGCTGCCAAGGCGTACTCAAGAGAAAAAAGTTTGGGAACCACTAGTGTAGCATATAAACTTAAAACGAAAACATGCATTTAATTATGCATTTTTTTTCCCATTGGGGTTATATTTAAAAAGCGATTGTAAAAGTTTTCTTATCTGCAGCCTTTGCATGCCCTCCACTTCTAACGTCCAATCACAGACCTCCCAATGCAGCTCAATGAGAAGTCTTTGCAAGGCAGGTGCTCTGGGAATTGCTGCCTCTTGAGTTTAGCTCTAATGAACCTGTTGTCTGCTTGAAAGCTACAGTGTATAAAAAGGTTAAATTATGCTGCCGGGTTAGGGCCTAACTGTCGACTGAGCAGGACACACACTGAAGGAACTCTTTGACGAAACCTGGGGGTTAAGTTAAAATTCTCGCAAGTCATTAATTATTGGGGTCTCCTTATCCTTTTTTCATCCTGGTGACACAGTCTACTTGCCTTGGACAACAGATTCCTATTATGGCTACGGGTGTCTTATGGACTTTGCAATTGTTCGTTCACTCAAGGCAGGGGAAGCGACCGATTTCCCGCTCTTCATGATTTTTACAGGGCCATGCTTGATCCCCATCTCTAGCCCGGTGCGGGTTAACCCAGTCCCAACCAGCACTGTTATCTACTATCCCTTTTACTCTAGGGGATCACTGGATGCAGATCTGCAAGCGGAGCTACCTAAGATAGCAGCTATTCAGGCTTCAGTACAGCTTTCTGTTCGGGTATGACGAGATCTATGCTTACTTTTGGAGGAAATTTGAGGAAAGGGTGCTATAGTTCACTTTGCCAGGACTTTGCCCTGAGCACATGGCACAGAAGGGTAATTGTCCATTGCATATCGGCTCCCGAATTCTTGGGGCTGCGGATGCGGGAGCTGGGGATGCAAACAGCCAGTTTTGCTACTTTTAATGGAGTCTGACATATTTTAAGCTGCCACCAACACACCTTTCCTTGTCTAGGTATAGGATGAAATATCGCTATCTACTGCCCAATGCTTAGATATTATACTCCAACAAACTTTTTAGTTGTAATAATGTTTTCAGCAGTTGCTCTAATCTTTTGTTTATCTTATGCTTTATTTGTCTCCTAATAGTAAGCTCTCACTAGGCCAGGGATTGCTCCAACCAATATCAATGTTTTGTCTACCTGATGGATCTCTATCAAGGCCAAAAGCAGCATCCCTTTATTATTCAATTTAATGTTTAGGTCACATCTGTAGCTAAGACCTAGTCTACACATTATTGAAAGCAGACTTTATAACATTTAAAAAAATATGCATTCCATTTGACATGTATAACAATTGAAAATTCATTTGATAATATATCTTACTTGCATTAGAAGTAATTTATGATAACCTGCAAATACCTCCATAAAAAATTGTAAATGTGCCAATTTCTATTTTGCTAAATGAAAAAACAAGAGGACACAAAGTATTTCAGCAAGCTAAAGTTGTTTAAAGGTCCAGAGCATCCCTTTAACTGTATTCTCTTTGCACGGTAAGCAGGCAGTGGGAGCATAAATGCATGGTAAAACCTGTTGCATGCTAAGTCAGTTTTCTGACAATGATGGTACTGTGGCACAGAGCAGAACCAATATCACAGTAAAGTCAGTTAAATCTCTAATTGGGTTATAAACAGAATTCATACACAGAAATGCACAATACAATGCCATAAGAACAGGCCAGGCCTGTGTTCTCTGTGTGACTGTTAGGGTCCTGCCATCAGAGGAATACATTGATAGCAGAAGCAAATTTGATGTTAGAAATCAGATGTATATGTGGGAATGAGTGTATATACTTTCATTTAAATCACACATGGATTAAAACAGATAATTAAAAAGTGACTGTTTTCTTTTCTTGTTATAAATACCTGCATAGTAATTTATTTTTGATTAATTTTTTGAATAAAATATTTAAATTGCTTCAGCCTTTCTTAAATATACATTTTATTAATATTTCTTCATCATAAATACACTTAAAGGTAGACACACATTTACAAAATATGAAACTTCAAAGGGCATAATATGAGAATCATTTTAATACATGGGTGGCAAAAAAAGTGCATGTTTAAATGTTTCAACTGTTGCATGTCTAACTTACTTTTTAAAAGGAAATAATTAAACCTACTCTTTAATCCCTAAAACTTTATATAAACTTGAGCAATGGGGAGATCTATTATTATTGTTATTGTCTAGAAATTATAGAATGCAAATCTGATAAAGATATGTCAGTATAGTGATTTATGTGTTAAGTGGAAATGTCCCCACCTCATTTTGCCTTTTTAATAGATCTTGCAGCTATTGCCTGCTTTAAGTTTGTGCAAAATATTAACTTGTTCAATTAAATATAATCTCTTAACTAATCTGTGATCCCTAAATAAGAAAGTGGCAAATGCTATGATTTTCTAAATGTAATAATGCACTAGGGAAAAAAATGCACTAGGGGAAAAAATATATATTAAAACATATTGTAACAGTATACTGTTAAAAAAATAATAATAAACAGTAAGTGATCTGTTTATACCATCTGAATTAAACGGTGATGCTTTAAAACTTTATAAAATTACAATTTCTTCAATTCAAATTACTGCAGAATGGTTAAAAGTAATCCAGCTAAGTGGTGTAAAGTCTGTGCATCTAGTTTAGTTAGTATTGATGTACAGAAGAGAGGCACTATGCAATATCTTTCATAGAAAATAAGTATGCAAGATTTATTCGTTTGCTTTTTGTAACTCTGCCACTTTAATTACTGCATGTTCCCTGTACTTAAATCCAACATGCAATGAACAATAAGAACAATATACTTTGTTGCACATCCCTGTGTCAGAATGTACCCAGGTGAACCTGATTTAGCTATCGTTTACAGTAAATTTCAGTAGTTCCTTTAAGTCTCTGATTAGTATTACTTCTCTATCACAGCCACTCTCCCAATAAATGGAAAATAAAACCTATAAATAACACACAGCTCTATAAATAAATCACCTGAATGTAAACTGCAGCCTATTACTCAGAGTAATACATATGTTCATCGTACTAGTCATGTTAAATTATAAGAGGATTTTTTTTTAATCAATTCCTATTCTAATTAAAAGGACTCTCCAGTGCCCATTTTCCTGGCACTGCAGAATCCTGCAGTGCCCCCCTCCCTCCCACTCACCCCCCATCCCATGTTGCTGACCGGGTTAAAACCCCTTCAGTGACTTACCTGAATCCAGCGCCGATGTCCCTCGGTGCTGGGTCAGGCTCCGCCCACGCTCCTCCCCCGCTGAGACTTTATGCGCATGAGCGGCAATGGTCGCGCGCGCATTAGTCAATGCTTTCCTATGAGGATTCCGGCGACACTGGAGGTCCTCATGTATAGCGTGAGGACATCCAGCGTCATTTAAAACACTTTTCGTGTTCTAAGAAGCTGGAAGTCCCTCTAGTGGCGGTCTGTTAGACAGCCACTAGAGGAGGACTTAACCCTGCAAGGTAATTATTGCAGTTTATAAAAACTGCAATAATTACACTTGCAGGGTTAAGGGTAGTGGGAGTTGGCACCCAGACCACTCCAATGGGTAGAAGTGGTCTAGGTGACTGGAGTGTCCCTTTAAGCAGAAAAACTCAAGTGGTTGCAATTTCTTTGAGATGGAAAAAAATGTTTTGTGTAATTTGTTCGTTTTTGGCATAGGCGTGCGCAGCCTATTGCATTAGGGTGTGCACCCTAAAGCACAAACACACGCCGCATGTATATATATATATATATATATACATACACACACATACATATACTGCTGTTTGTGTGTGTGTGTGCTGTTAGTGCGCTGTGTGTGTGTGTGCTGTTAGTGTGCTATGTGGGTAAGGGTGCTGGTAGTGTGCTGTGTGTGAGGGTGCTGTTTGTGTGCTGTGTGTTAGGGTGCTGGTAGTGTGCTGTGTACGAGGGTGTTTGTGTATGTGTGTTAGGGTCCTGTTAGTGTGCTGTGTGTGTGAGGGTGCTGTTTGTGTGATGTGTGTGTGTGTTGGTGCTGTTTGTGTTGTGTATTTGTGAGGGTGCTGTTAGTGCGCTGTTTGTGTTAGGGTGCTGTATTTGTGTAGGTGCTGTGTGTGTGTGGGTGCTGTATGTGTGTGTTGTATGTTTGGAGGGATTGTGAAGGTGGGGGCAGATTAGTAAATAACCGCCCTCACTTCTTACCTTATGTAGGGAGGGGGGATCCTTGCTGTCCAAGGGAGAGTGAACTCTAGCCTGCGGGGCTAGAGTTCACTCTCGCGAGATCTGAGCATTGCCACGGCAACGCTCAGATCTCGCGAGAGGAACCTGGCGGAGCTTCTGTCTAGAGCTCCCCGGGTCCTCTCCTGCCTCCCTCCATGCTGCTGTGGGCTGGTGAAGTAGATCTTTGATCTCCCCGCCGGCCCATGGAGGCTTAGAGCAGAGCCGGCACTCAGATAGCGCCAGCTCTGCATGAGACGACAGGGGACATCTGGAGATCTCCCCTGCCGGCAAGGGTCAAGGGGAATAAAGTGTGGGAACTCTCCCATGATTCCCACTCCCCCCCCCCAAAAATAATATACACTTGTGTGTACACACACATATATATATATATATATATATATGCGTACACACACATACACTCACACACACATACTCAGACACACACTTACAGACACACACACATATTCACAGACACACTCACACACACACATTCACAGACACACACTCACACACACACTTACAGACACACACATACATTCACAGACACACATACACTCACAGACACACACACACTTACAGACATACACTCTCACAGACACACACACTCACACACACTTACAGACACACACACATACATTCACAGACACACACACACTTACAGACACGCACACATACATTCACAGACACACACACACATTCACAGACTTACAGGCACACACTCACAGACACTCACACACATACACATTCACAAATTATTTTTTTTTAATTAAAAATTGTCCACCCAGCCTCCCTACCTGGAGAGCTGGCGTGGACTTGTCCCTGGGGTCCAGTGGGTCGGGCGCCTGTCTCCATACAACAAGCGGCGAGAGAGCGGTGTGCTCTCTGCTCCCTCTAGCCGCACGGGCTGTCTGCTGTAGCTGGGAGCCGGAATATGACGTCATATTCCGGCTCCTGGCATCAGCAAATGGTGCACGGCTAGAGGAAGCAGAGAGCACACAGCTCCCTTGCCGCTTGTTGTATGGAGACAGGCGCCCAACGAGGGGGTGGGGGTGTCCATCACCTCTTGCTCCCCCCCCCATGACAGGGAAAACACGGGGGGAGGAGGAGGGCGTTTGGGGACGGCAGAGTGCCTGCAGGACTCACAGGCATGCCGCGGGGATTAGGGTGTGCCCAGGCACACCCCGTGCGCACGCCTATGGTTTTTGGGCCTTACTGTTCTTGAAATGTAGACAATGTCATATATTTTATACATTTGCCTATACAAAATCTTCAAAGTTTGTCCATTTTCTTATTCCATATAATCTGTTAGGAAGAGGTAAGGAGCAAAAAATAGCAGCATGGTTCACATCCCCACCCAAAAAATGAGGTATTAGAAGATTTGAGCCTTGCAGCTCTGTACAGTAGGAAATATTGCAATCATATTCCTCACTGCAATGTAGCAGAAGAGACAGTCTGGTATTCTGCCGCCATCACCATGGAATGAAAGATTGATTTTTCATTAGACAGTAAAATCGGTGGTTTGTCATATTCCAAAATCTGTAAAAAAAATAAAAAAAATAAATAAAAGAAAACAAATTGAGTCTGTCTGTCTATTCCCACACAGCATATCTTAGTATAACCTGGAGTGTACTTTCAGTTGTATGCTAGTTTTTGAAACATAGAATGTGACAGCAGATAAGAATCATTCAGTCCATTTAGTCTGACAAATTTTCTAGCCTTATGCCTATACTAGCTATAAGATAAAGCCAGGGACTAATGAGAGTATTTAGAAAATTTTGAAATGATAGCCTTCAGGAAATGAGTTGTACCCAGACAAAATGTTATTTTTTATTTGGCCAAACCTCGTTTTTATGCCGGGCACAAGTCTACCCTATACATAAAAAGCTAAATATGGGGGCAGGTCCTGACAGCTAACCATAATAGTCGCATGGCCCACTTATTGAGACCAAATCTGGGCATTATT